AATTTGAGATTTAAGAGAAAATTTAAAAATATATGAATGCAGTAAAAATGCTTTGAAAAGAATGACACTTGATAGAGAGCATAACTCTGCCATGGCCAATTAATCCTGCACATGATTGACCAGTTCTGACTGTAGAAATATAAAAGAAAAGGTGATTTATTTGCCATAAATCCTGGATCTGCCCCTTAATCAAGTTGATCTCAAACTTTTGCACTTCAAGGATCCTTGAAAGTACACTATCTATACAACAGACCCCCATTTGACAAGATTGTATTACAAGAAGGACTTCAATTTCAAAATAGTCAAACATTCTGTCAGTGTGTTACATAAGGATAAAAATATGGTGAAAATAAATGATTCCCCTTTTTTGTCCAAGACCCTGGCAAAAAGACCCCACTTCGAGAACCCCCTGCCTTAATCCACATCCACACCAAAATGTAATGTGTTCTTCTCAGGCCCAGGCCCCACCCCTCCAGCATGTTTGCACAAAAATCAATTTTTGTGCAAACATGCTCACAAATAAACTAGCAAACAGCAAACATGGTTGAAAAAACAACCTTGCCAGAGGTAATATAAATAAAATCATGGGGCAACCTAAATTTAAAGCCAGGTGGAAAGGGCCAATCTTTATGTTTGACTAAAAACTGTTAATGGTTGAAGTAAATTATTTGAAGTAAAACTGCAGGATGAACTTAATCTAAAATTATTCGTCATATTAAATTTGTGGAGTATAGTTTGTATATCTGCAAAGTAGAGGTGGAAAAATTGTAAATGTAGTTAGTTATGTTTCACTACTTGTTTTCTACACATGAAACATACACAATTGACTGATTATGTTGCTTTATAGAACCCTGATTTATTGTTGGTATAAATAGTATTTGAAATATTGGAATAGCAGTATAGATAACTTGTGTTGAAAGTAAATACATTTATCAACCAGATTACTGCAGCCACCAAGCTGAAAATCCCTCTATCACTAAGAAAGACACAAACATTGTGTTTACTTTTGCTATTTCTCAGTTATACTTAAATATAGAAACCCAGGGAGACAAGGGGGACAGATAAAGCCTGGGTCTGTCTAAAGGTAACAAAATCTGAGAGACAGCATCTCTGAAATCAACACTAATTTTCATATAAGATCTGGTTTGTTTTGTCTCAACAAAAACCCAATTGTAAAATGAGAAATATGACAAAAACATGTTGATTTGACTTCTCAAGTGTTAAAGGCAGCTATTAGCTTCCAATAGAAATAAACAAATTGTAAATAACAAGTTATTAATAAGTTGAATCCATATTTGTGTTATGATTGATGTGTCTCAAGTATTTCACTGTGACATTCCTTTAAATTTCACAAATCACCAGGCCGCGGCTCGCTGTCTGATGAACATGGCGGTGTTGTGTCAGTTCTGGCCAAACAAGCTGCAGCTCTCTCCAGAGACCCAACAGACGCTCCGACTGTGTGCCTGGAGTCTGAGTCAGGGTGAGCACAGACCTTTTGTCTTTTGTTGCACCTGTTCTCCGTTTTCTCAGTTTTCATTAATCCAACATTTTTTTCTGTGGTTATTTTGATGAATGCTTGTCGAGCTCAGTAAATCTAGAAAAGCTGCTGAGAATGATCCAGAATCAAAGAATGAACGCCTCTGCTCAAAAGTCTTGGCACAGGAGTGTTTTGTCATTTGTGTGGTTATGCTGCCACCCTCTGGACGCTGTAAAACATCATCTGCTGCACTTGTACAATACTTAATACTTCAACATAAATGAAGATGAGGAAGATGTCATATTAAACCATGGACCTTAGATAGATTTATTCTACATGTGTCAACAAGGTGCAAATCAATGAGCATTAATATGAATGAAAATGAATGATCAGGACAGATATTAAGTCTCAGCTGGTGGTGTGCTTTTTCTGTTCTGATTATTAATGATTAAATACCATAACAAAATTACTCAACTAATAAGTTGTGTCAGTATTGGTTTGATCTAATTTACAAATTAACGGTTCAGTGTGTAGAATTTTGTGATATCTAGTGTTGAAGTTGCATGTTGCAGCTGAACACCCCTCACCTCACAATCCCCTTCTGAAAGTGAAAAAGAACCTGTGGTAGCTTCAGTTGTCATAAAAACTCAAAAGGTGTTTAGTTTGTCAAGTCTGGACTAATGTAAAACACATGGGTGCCTCCATAGAGGGTCCCCTCCATGTACATATAAAGTATTTAAATATAAAGGGCCTTTTCTGGGGTAAAGAAAACTACAATTCATACAATTTAGATTAAATTAACTATTGAAATCATCATGAGGATTATTCTATGTTAAATTTCTCCTAATAGTTCCCTTTCACCTAAATCTTACACACTGGACCTGGAGTCTAATCATGTGCAAAAAAATTTTTCACACTAATCTTACCATATATTAACTTTTCATTCTGTTTTTTTGTAGAAACATTCTGGTGAGGAGTCATGGGACCATCACAGTGGCGGTTCACAAGATAGCATCTTGAGGACAGGGGTGCTCACCAGGGGTTTTAATGTAAACAAATGTACATGTACACAAACTAACAAACCAATGTCTCAATGAGCTCTGATGAAGAGAAGTCTGGGCTTTACCCATTGATCTGCTGTGTTTGCTGTATTTAAACCAGAGTGCTTGCTCAAGTTCTACCAGCTACTGAAAACTGGATTGTTAATTATCTCTATTATTAAAAAAAAAATGAACATACACCAATCTGTTGGTAATAATATTTTATTGATGCCGTGAGCAGAACAGGTCTTATTTGATGTAACGTGTTTGTGCATCCATGTCCTCTAGTCCAAGTCAGTCATGCACAGAATACTCTTAATAAAGTTTAACTTGACTTTGTGCTGCCCTCTTCTTTGTTAAGTATTTATTATTTTCTCCTTTGCTCAGTGTTTCATGGTTAACCATACATTGTCTTTGGCAGGACATCTTTCATCCTGGACGTGACAAAAGGAAAAAAAACATGATTTACAGTTTGCAATCATTAATGCAGCCATGAAGCATGACGCTGAGATCTCGCATATATTGATTGTATGGGAGCGTGTGGTGACAAGTAAAGGTGGAGCACCAGGTCTGGAAGCAGGTATATTAATATCATCGTGTGTCTGCCATCACTCTGCCTCCTGCCCTCCTCGGCACATGGCTGCTTACATCCGCAGAGCCTGACAGCAGAACGCACCCCGGTGGCGCACTAGAGGGAAGTCTGCGGTGGCACCTGATGTTTACACCGCAGAGCTCTCTTATCTCCCTCTCTCTCTCTCTCTCCCCCCTCCTGAGCCCGCAGATGAGGTTCATTGCTTCGCATCAGTCACGTGGTTTTCCTCAGTGAAAGCTCCTTTGCCTTCCTGCGGCTCCTCGGCTCAGCCCAGCGATGTTGAGGCTGAGATGTAAAATGCAACTCCAGAGGGGCCCGCTAGTATAGGAGTGAAGTTATGGCACGGCCGTGCTCGGAGGGAAAGGTCCTGCAGCAGCTCCTCTCTGCCAAAAAGTCCATCACCGGCGACGCGCACGCATTTCTGGGACGCACCACACCGGAGCGAGAAGCCCCCAAATTACGCACCAAATTAAACTAATTGAATTCGGGGGATAGAAGCGAGTCGAGGGTTGAAGGAGAATTCAGGTAACTTTCCCAATTTTATGAACATATGTGTGTGTTTTTTTGTTTTCATCTTTATTTGCTTTCAACTAATCAAGCAACATAAACAGTCCAGATATCTAGATACAGCCTAGAATCTGAGATCATTTATTTACAATTCCTTTTATTGGTGAACTATTTTTCCTCGCCAAACTTTTCTCTGCAAAAAAACATAAATTGTTTTTTCTTCTCTGTCAGGTTATTTATGGGTGTATACCCCCCCCCCCCCCATATTGCGCAGGTTTGTGGCTCTTTTTTTTGTCAGCTAGATGACGTCTTGTTGAGATTCACTGAACGACCCTTATCTCGCCCCTCCAGCACCAGTTGACTGGAGTTGAGTGAGGGGCTGCAATGCAACAGGCCTGAGTGGAGAGAAGATCACCTCTGGCTCACAGCCTGGCACAGTAAGACCTCTCTGTTTTCTCCTCAGTCATATGGTGTTGTGTGGGCTAAGCCAAAAAGCTCTCAGCTGAACGCTCATTTAAGAGCCTGTAATCTCACAATTCCTCAGGACTGATGTCTGGATTTTCTCAGAACAAAATGAAGAAGTTAGATTTATCTTGGAGGAAACAGTCAGACAGACAGACCATGCAGGAGAAAATAGCAAGAAAAAGTTATTTGGAAAAGTTTTGAAAAAACTGGTATTTTTTTAGAGTTGTAACACTGTTCTCTTACTTTCACCATGCAGAGTCAGAAATGTAGAAATGCAGATCCAGTTTAAGAAGAAATCTCCCAGTGAAACAAATAAGAGCCATTTATTAATTGAGGTTTGATAATATGCCTAATATAACAATATTTTCCTGTTTTGTACAACTTTCACTCTGCCATTAGATTTTAGCTCATAGGATTTTCAGTTAGGCAATGCATTTCTGTTCAGCTAATTTAGCTCAGACCTTGTGTTGCTTCATGTTTCTCTCCTGCTAATTCAGTTCATATTCAGCTGTCTTCAAGTCTGTTTTCCTGCTAATTCAGTATTTTGGTTGTTGGACTGTGTGATCTATTTTTCTTTTTCACCGATCCTCTGACAATAAACTTGATTGTTTACTGTGAGCACTTTTCAGCTGCCCATTTTTTTTTTTTACCTTGAAACATGTCTGTGCAGATGTTCTGTCAACTCTTGCAGTGAAGCTGACATAACTATTTAGTGAGCTGTCCTTTAGTAATCCCTTTGACAGGTCCTTTCAAACCACTGGCATTCAGGCCCTTGTTACATCAGTCAAACGACAAACTCTTCCTCATACATGCATTTGTTGACAAAGGGGCACTGAGCTCTAAACTCAAACAGGATGTGTCACAGCAGGACAAGTATGTTGACACTCTAAACCTGGGCGAGGAAGTTTCCTAATGTACAGCTGTGGAAGATGGGGGTATTCTCCTGCTTTCCACACAAACAGCATTTTTCCTCCTCACTGAGGTTGGGGTAAGAGCTCAGAAGTCGGCCACAAAATGACACCGAGCTAAATTTAATTGATTAAACTTCCTATTATTAGACAACATATATATATTGGAGGGGCTTGTGAATGGTCTATTTGATAGTTGATCTTTTTAATAATCCTCTAGATGTGTCTGCATGTGTGACAGGTCACCCTGAGCCTGAGAAAGAAATATTCAGTGCAGCTATTACAACTTGGATCCACCTATTTGTGTAAAACCTTCCTTTATTCAGTGGCCCAGATTAAAAGGGCTTGATTTCTACAATTGCCTCTTTGGCACCCACACTTTAAAAAAAGAGAAAGAAAGTAGTCTATAACATAGACAAATTTTCCTCTTAATATTGTCACATTATACTTTTACCACATTTTGCAAAGCCAACACAATGCAGACTACATAATGATTAGAATATATAGTTTATGATTTGATAACACTTGAAAAGGGGTTTGGTTAAAGTACCTCACATGTTTTCACATCGTTGCTGCATCCATCTGCATCACTCTGACATGTTCACGTGACTATTATTACCTGCCGTATCCCCAGCTGAACTTCTTGCTGACTTTCCGTCACAGATGAGCATCTTTTAGTCATGAGATCTGCTTGTCACAGTTCTCGTAGTGAATGAAAAGAGAGTGCGACACTCTGTCTCTGTGCTGCACATGTTGAGTTAAACTGCTGACTGAAGCATTATTTCTGCATCCCTGTGCAGGGGCTGGATTCTCTAACCTCTCATAGCCTGAACCGATGTCCATGAAATTTTGTTAAGGGGTTGGGATATTCAAATTTGTGAGATTTTGCAACATTTTCATTGATTTCTCAGAATATTTCATGGATCTTGATTTAAAAAATCATACTTATTTAGGGAACTGATTTCCATTAGTGTGCCCAATTTGGTGCACCTAAGGAAACTATTGGACCTTGATGGAGGTACAGTATGTGACATTCCAGTTTAAAAAGCAATGGGGACAAATACAATAAACTGTGACAATGCCAGCAATAGTAAGTGAGGTATTTCCCTAAAAAATTAGGAAAAAAAACAGGTTGAGGTACCAGTGCTCTACAGCTTGGTGACAATTGAAGATTAATTTCCTGTGA